CTATGGGCTTCAAAAACATAGAACTCATGTTCCTTTCGATTGTATTATTATTTATAGTGACGGATGTATCATCTGTACAAATGCTTCTTGCTAAACTAGGACCAACATTCACAAAAAACCTATTAAACTTATCTACTGCATCCTCCAATCTATACAATCTGTACATACAGTATGTATTTATGTCAGGCCTGTTCCCCTAAAAACCTTTCAAGATGTTAAAATATACAGAGATCTTGGTCCCATCACAATGGGTAATATTTTGTCAGAAATGTCAGATGTAGCTGCATTGTTTCATTATCAAATAGGTCATTATTATTATTCTGTAAGTTAATGAATGTTTTATTGTATCTTCATTAATGTATGCCTGAAAATATGAATTCTGCATCTATTAGGCAAAACATTTCATTATTTTGCTATCCACAAGATAGCACAGGAAAATGTTCATGATTATGAAATGTATTCGGCCAAGAAGAAGAAGAAGAAGAAGAAGTTAAGATTAAAACAGTATTTAAAATTTAATCCAACAAAGATTTGCAAAATACGACATTTTAGGACATCAATTGAGTAAATACTGAAAATTAATCCAGATAGCTACAGCATATTGTATCTGGTACTTATTTAAAAGTTATGTAAAAAGGCTTATGTAAAAAGAAATGAAACATTGTTGAACCTTGCACAACACTATTATTACTATTAATATTTGCCAGTTTTATTTAAAAAAGTACAATTGCAGACTCATTTAAATGTCTCATTTTCTAATTTGAAGAAATTGCCACTGATTGGATCTCAACCATTGCCACAGCTACATATTCTGTCTCTTCTCTGTGTTTTCAGCCTTTCTTGCTATAGATACACTTCAGCAACCACCCCTAAACAGAAAAAGAGCATTGTAAAGAAAAAAAAAAAGAAAATAAAAAAAGGACTTCCTTCTTCAGTCTCAAGGATTGGTTGTAACCTTAGCAGAATCATGAAAGTTGACAGTTCATTTTTCGCAGGGTCATAGATCGACGAGTCTTATAAAGTAATGGGCTTTTGGGAGCTGGCTTTATGAGAGCTAAGATAGTTAAGAGACATGAGGAGGAGATGGCACAGGGAGCTGGGGTCCTGCTCTGACTCATCCAGGGTTATTCCCTTCATGCAGTGGAGCGGGAGGGAGGCGTAGCTCTCCCAGTAATATAAACGTGTAATAAAGATTAATCTGTAGCTAGTCGCCAGGGTGATAGCTTCCAAACTTGCTTGAAATAAGGTTGAAATCACTTCAGAGCCAATCTCAAGACCTTTAGTGAGTGTCTGAGATTCCTTTGTGGGTGTCAGGGAAAAACATTTTATATGTTTGTCTTGTGTGTTTATGTGTATGCAGTTGAAATTGAATTTGTGCTTCAAGCACATGTGTATTCATGACTTGAGCTTTGTGTGAGCTTTGCAAGTTACAGTACCATTAGGGGTTAAGCACACTCACCAGGTACATCTGGCCTCTTCATGCCTCCTGTGGGTGCTCCTCCCACTCCGCTTCCCAGGCCGTTGAATGCAGGGAGGTTATCATTGCTGTAGGCTCTGAGGACAGACAACATGTTCATCTGCTGCTCTAGTTGGTTCTGCTGCTCAGCCTTCAACAGTCCTGGAGGACCTCCAGGAGACAGGAGGCCCAGTCCCTGTTGCCACTGCTTCTCTAGTGGCAAAGCTTGGCTCTGGGGTCGGGGAACAAGAGAAAGTGGTGTCATGGCAGGCGAAGATGCTGCCAGACCAGTTCCACTCCTAGGGGGCAGAGAGGAATCATCTTGGAGATGTTTAGGGTGGTTCTGAAGATGATCTGACGCTGGACTTCCTTCTTCCTCTCTCTCCATGTCCATTTGCCCATCCTCATCTCTTTCTTCCTCCTCTTCAGCCACTCCTGCCTCCTCTTCCTCCTCATCAGAGTTATTTGATTGTTGTTGTCTCTTAGGGGTGGTTGAGGGAGTGTCACTGGCACTATGCACCCCAGCTTTTATAATTTCATCATCTGATCCAATCTGGTCCTCTTCAGCATCTCCACAGGAGCCACTCTCACCAATATGATCATCACTGGCTGAGGTTCCTCCTACAAAAACCTGACTAGGTGGGTCCAGACCCTGCTCTGCTGTGCCTAGATAGCCTTGAAGACCCTGGTTGGCCCTTGGGGAGCCATCATACAAGCCTCCAAATCTTCTGTAGAAGTCACTCTGGAAGGGGTTGTAGGGCTGGTCCATGTGGTTGTTCCAATTTCCCTGGCTTTTTTCTCCATCTCTGTCTCCACTTTTGTCAAGGGCCACACCAGAGGTCTTGGTGTTAGAGGAATGAATGGTAGAGGTGGTGGGAGAGGCCTCTCCATGAAGCTCCTTTCCTGCATCAGACCGCTGCAAATGGGCCTTACCCAGGTGGTTGGCCTGGAGGTGCAGAGCCATGAGCTCCAATGAGGAAGTGGAGAAGGAGCAGAAGAGGCAGCCATGCCATACTACATTATCATGAATAGTGACTGAAGAGCCAGGGAGAGATCCAGGTGCAGACTCAGGCCTAACTGACACAGACAGATCAAGTGGTTCATACTGGGACCCAGGTTTGCCAGGCTCTGAGTTCTGTTTGGCTTCAGGCTTATCCTCTCTGCCCTGGTCAGCTGAGGCACCCCGCTTGGCTTTGGGCTCACCGTTATCATGATAGTGCTGAGTCTGGAGCTGGGCTGGACTCTGGTTATCCTTCATATCTTTCTTCATGGAGCTGAGAACAAAGCTGTCCATGAAGGCTTGAAGAGAACCTTGAAAGTGAACACCATTTCCCATCATGCTTTGGTAAGCCCTACTTAGGTCAGAAAAGCTGGCAGGACTATCTGTCGTTGTTGAGACCAGGCCATCGGCACTCTTCATGCTCTCGGCTGAGGAACCAGAGTCAAAACGACGTTCTCCGCGCTCCCGATCTCGGTCTTGTGGAGACATCATGCCTGCTGATGCCCACTGATGTGGCAGCAATGAGCCGGCCCTGAAGTCGAGGTTGGAAGGCATTCCCTTGAACACATTACGGAGGACATCAGGTCGGGCAAAGATGCCACCACCGGATGTCTTAACATGATCCTCTTTGTGCTCTGAAGAAGCGGTGTGACCAGAAGATGGGCCTGAGGTGGTGGAGCCATTTTGACGTTCACGATGATGACGCTCCAGGTGGTACTTCAAACTGGCGGACTGGGTGCCGGCATAGTCACAATGAGGGCACCGGTAGGGTTTCTCTCCTGAGAGGCCAAGAAAGAGACAGAGAAACAGAAAGGGAACGACAGGGAAAACAGTGAATAATTAACCTGATTATTAGATTGACTGGATATCAAAATCTATTTATTGGAGCAGGAAAATTAGGTCAAAAGAGTAGAGCTCACAAAAAAGATATGCATTTCATTAACTACTATAAAAAATGGATATTTTGCAATTGCCTCAGTTTTATTTGGCATCAGAACACACACAAATTCCTCAAAAAAGAACGAAGGGACAAAATGAAAATAAAATGAATATAGAAGAAGCAACAGTTGAGGAAGAAAAACAGAATGAAATAAAATACAAAACAAAGTGATAATGAACAGGATCATGTATTTTAACCAATAATTCCATGTTTTCTTCTAGTTTTTTTTTTCTATAGTCATCAGCTGTGTTCCATTTGATGTGTGTGTGTTATTGCATGTGTCTGAATTGGGATGGGGGTGTGGAGCAGACATCTGAATATGGGTCGATCCAGCTCGATCCAGCCCCGCCAAGTGAGCCATCATTCACATCAACACCATAAAAAAAAAAAAAAAACATTTCACCATATGGTGCTTTCAGTGCACTAAAAGAGATAATATTTTCAACTGACAACAAAACTGTCTTGATGCTATCTTTGTGTGCGCGATTGAGGGCTGAAGCTGAGGGTGCGGCTGGGCCTTTGTGTGTTTCTGTGCATGTGTGCATGGATGTGTGTGTTTGTGTGTGCCTCCAGTGGGGTCATCATGCCTCTGTTCTGGCCTTGTTTGCTGTCAGACCTGTGCCTTGATGATGAGAGTTCAATTTCGCAGACATTCCCTATTTGCAGTTTATCTTGAGAGGCATAAATCTGCCATAGCATAAGATCCTCCCATCTACTGCCACTGCAGTGCACTGAGAACAAAATACGGCAATACACTAAAATAAATAAATAAGTAAGCCAATGAGTATTTTAAAACAGAAATGGAGACGAGTAGTGTGCAGGCAACATATGTGAACCACATGCTTGTTTCACCGAAGCCCTTTTAAACAGAACAAAAGGATCCACTACAGGATACATAGATTAAAGTAATTTATTTTATGGAAAAAGAGGGGTGAGCATGTTGCATAACATTTTCATATATGTATTTATGCTGCATATCCATACTTATGAATATTCTTGATAATAGTATAACACCAGTGTTATTCTGCCAGAAGAGGATCTACCATTGAAAGGATACTGTAGCATGCTGGGGGGTGGAGGGGCATCAGCGGAGCTCCCACCTGCCCCTATGGACAGAGACTGTGAGTTTCTGAGTTATTGTTGTGTTCATGTTCTGTTATGGGGGCGGGGCCAGGCCAGCTGGGCCTAGACACCATGACTGAGGGTTCTGGAGGGACTAATGGGCTTTGGCCATCATGGAAATAGTTGTGTGTGTGCAGACAGTTGACAGTGGTGCTGTGGGGTTGTGTGGTGTATAGGGTACACATTTGCGCACACAAAGGCAAATTCTGTCTCCGGCTTCCTTCTTCTTTCAGCCTATGTTACAATACTATGTTGAAATAGAACACATCCTGCTAGCAATTATAAGAGTCTTGGAGTCTGAGCCAGATTTAGAGTCATTAAACAATGAACAGAAAGAGAGAGAAAAATGCTAAGATTGATTTTTTTTTCAAAATATACACATAAAATGTTCCCAGCATAGAATTTTTGTTGGGGGGATAACTGTGACTGTGTAAAAACAGAGGCAGAGTGGTTGAAAAAAACATAAACAGGGATGGTTGTTGTGTTTGTGTATGCACATTTCTATATATAGAGAATATGACTATAAATTGTTTACATTATACACATGGAAACCATTTTATAAAAGAAAAAAGGCATTGTTACGCAAGACTGGCTTGAATGATTTAAGTCGGGCTGTGTAGTAAATCATGGATATAATTAGCAAATGGCATACTGCTCAAGTAATTTATCATTATTTAGAGGGCACCATTCCAGAAAAGACTGCGATCTGCAGACCTACTGCAGAGTTCTCAAATAAAGGGCCACAAACACCAACTCAATACAATATTGATAGAGGAGAGAAAAGAATAGGAGGGCATACAAAAGAAAATTGAAGGTGGAAATGGTGAAGAGTGGACAGAGAAAGAATAGGGGAAAGAGAGCATGCAGAGAGACAGAGAACCCTGACTTGTGATAGAAAGGCAGGTATCTTTTCTCTTACACAAGAGTGGCTATGAAGCACAGAGTATATTTAAAATAAACCATACAAGATGAGCTTTTAACCCAATAAGTGCTTATCCTGTGAGCTGCCGAACAGAGGCTCAGTGCTGATTTAATAAGGAAACGTCCCTGATGCAAATGATCATTCTCAATTCCTCTAACTGGACAAAATGATATTCTAAGAGCCAAATTAGACAGAAATTAGACTGATCTGATCTTCTTTTTTTCCCCCTCCTTTATCTTTTCTTTCCTTATAAGGGGTTGTTAATGTTCCTGGTAGGAAAATAAAGATTAATGTACCATCTACATATCTAAAATGAGAATGAAAAGCATAAAAGATTGCATGTTCGACACTCTCCTTTGATGTTTACGGAGCAAGGCAGAATGAAAATAAATACAAATGCCCTCAGAGAGTGATCGGTTTATTCCAATTTTCCATTAAAATTGAGTATTTAAATATATTTGGGGCGAGTGAAACAGATGACAAGTGCATTTCTGCATCTATTTGTGTTTAGGTACGTGTGTGTATATGTGTGCACCATTTGGAATGTGTGCAAACACGTTTATTATGCATGTGCGTCAGCCTGAGACTGTGTGTGTGTGTGTTTCTTAGAGGGCCATTTGGACTGGCTAAGACATCTGCTCCATCATACGTCAGGGGCCTGGTGTGACATCTGGGGAATATACTGTATCCTGCCTTGCAACATTACACACAATTTACTGCTAAAGGTCATTATGTACCCGTTAATCCACTTTTAATTGATATCAGTGCAAACAGCACAACCTCCCAGCCACATGACAGATCACTGCCACCACAAAACTAGGAAATTGCTACTTGGGAGTTAAAAATAGAATGGTAAACTTTTTGCTGTTGTCCGTCTTCACTTTGTTGAACTACTTTGGACATTTTATTCCTGGCAAAGGTGAAGGATGAGTAAAAAAAATGCACCACCGCAGCTTTTGTAGCTTTGGCTGGAGCTCATAAATGCCCAAGTGACACTTTTGTCGCTATAAAAGATATTTCTCCTGACCACTGTACTGGGATTTGCTGCTCTACAGTATGCTTGCTCTTCATCTTGGATGCACTGATTTAGTCTTGCTTTGTGTCAGTTGTGACAGCACCATAGAAACAAGTAAACATAAAGACCCCCAAACTGTACAGAAGGACAGTTAAAACGGCTTAATAGAAATGACATACTGGATGATGAATTTCCATTTTGGCCAAAGGACAGAGAAAAACAGTGAGGTGTGTTTGAGAGACTGAGTAAAGGATAGAAGCTGTTTTACATCTGTTTAAGTTAATGGTTAGCAGTGAATCGAGAATGCCTCTGATACTGTCAAGGTTAATAGTTCAAATGCCTCAGAGGGGACAGTGACACCAAACTGTCCATAATCTGGGACTTTGGCTGAATGTGGGGTAAATATTCATTAAAAGGTAAAGCTGGCATGAGCTCTTTGATTTTTTTTTTACTTGTTGTCAGTAAATGCCATGAAAGGAGCAAAACCAGCCATCTCTGAATGCTATCCTACTTCTGGCAGCCAGCCTCAAGCACATTTGCTCCTAAAGAAGATATACATCTTCAGTGTAGTTTTTGGCAAATATTACTCCAACAAGAGCAAACAGTACATTTGTTGAGACCTATTTTTAGCTGTGGATGAACACACATTTGGCATTCTAGTAAGTATTTACAGCACCAAGTGCAATGTATGGACGATTCTCAAATCATATTGCTGTGACTGTGTTTACAGTAATGAATTAATCTGCCACCCAGTGCAACAGTGTCTCATTGATGTGTTTTTATTTGATGTTTTTTTATTATTTTGGGGGGAAAACTTAGCTCTGTGGCACAGAATTAAGATCAGGCTTTAACTACTTGATAGTAGGATCAGTTCCTTGTTCATTTTGTGTCACTCCAGGCATATTATAAAGGTATCGGATCAAATAAAACATATCAGAATCCAATTTTTCTTCACTGAATTTAACGGTGCTTTGTTGACCTCAGCGTGCTAGAGGCTGCAGCGCTGCTCGCCTTAATGACGGGTAATGTTAATTCTAACCTGAAAACAGGCCAAAATGGAAAGTGTCTATTTTAATGTGCTTTCTGCAGGCTGGTGTCTGGTGTCTGGCCTAAGAAGCTCCTCTCTGTTACACCACTGTACCTTTAGAGTGAGCTGAGTGTTTCTCTAGTTCCAGCAGAGTGAGTTGGACCACATCATGTCAGTATGAGGAGTCACATTCTTCACTTAAACTTTCATTCATATCAATAAATGAAGCTTATAGACTTAATAGTTTCAGTATTTGGATCAAAAATCTTGTGAGAAATACAGTGCATCATGCCAGATAGACTACAGCTGTTACTTCATCTGTCAGGCACATATACAGTATAATCAACACAAGTAAACAACACAAGTAAATAATCTTTTTTAATCACAGTTATTATCACAGTACACAAAGATAAATACACAAAGGTGAAGGATTCAGATCAGGATCAGGTCAAAAAAATTGATCTGCACATCAATGAAATATTAAACTGACAGTCTTATTCTTTAGGTATGAGTTTAGTGGTGAGTTGAACGTGTTGCTTTTACTGCTAGGAAAAACAGTTAATTTGCCAGAGAGGGAAACAATTCACACCATAAATATGTAGTTTATGCACTCAGGAGTGTGCAATGTAAGTGTGTACCAAATGAGAAGCATATTAAATCTAGCAGTGTTGTTGTACTGAAGATACTGGAAATGGAGATAAAAGAAAAAGGTTTTACTGAGGAAACATGCATTCGGAGGGAGATAAAGAATGAGAAAAAAAGGAAGGAAGGAGGGGGCAAAGGAGTGAGAGGGAATGAAGAGGGAGATCACAGGTCCCACTTGATTCATCCTGATTACAAGGTCAGGTTAAGGTTAAGTGACATGGGCAAGTCCTTCCTGTCTGCTTTCCCTTTCTCCCTCTCTTTGTCTCCCCTTCTCCTCATTTAAAGGTGAGCAGGGACTCTTACTGGTTATGTGGCCCTGCCTGAAGTTATGTGCAGCTATTGTCAAGAACGAGGACCTTTTTATTTTTTACACACAGCTGCTTACTGCTAAATAGTGCCTTGTCCAGAAGGGGACAATCTGGGCCTCTAATTGCTGTCACTGAAGCCTAGATTCATTATGTGACTTTCCCATTAAAATGTGAGCATTAATTTGTATAATGAAATATCACCCTCTGCAGTGTGTTCATTAGCTGTGGCCCCACACTGTAGCGCTGCAGCCGCACAATGTTAGCTACCTAGAAAACTGTGGTTAATTTTGCTAATGGATATTTTCCCACTCACTGTTCAAGAGGAAATTAATATTGTAACATTAGCTCTTTAACTTTTGGAGAAATTTAAATTCACTTCATTCCTTTCAAGCTGATGTTAGTTGCTCATTAATCTCCGTGGTGCGTTGCACAATGCTGCCTCGATGGGCTTGGTAAGCAACTCCATTGTGTCACTCACATTGCATTAGGATGAAGGGGAGCTTGGCTGTCATCTGTGAATTTCTCCACATTGTCACCAGAGCACAGAGAGGATCTTTAGCTGCTGTAAAAGTCATCTTGTGGATGTAATCAGGATTTCACAGTGGAGCTAGTATGATTAGGTTATAGGAATGATTTAAAGGCCACATTCTGGCAATACATCAAGCTGCTTTCCTCTCCACATGTAGAAGACTATGCTGAAGCTGTGCTTAGATAGGCCTGCATCCAAAGATACATTCCATTCCAAAAGGACCACATCTTTTCTAAGCCTTTCTCACTTTTAAGCTCAGGTATAGATGGCTCCAGAGTAAGTCTTTGACTTCACTGTATTTTTGACATATGTATTGATAAATGTAAAATACACTGTGTGGCTGAAATGAGATGAGCCTTCTTGTCTGTGTGTGTATTTGCCAAATGAATTAATGCCAGGCCTGGGTTGAGGTCTACACCTCCTCCATGATAAAATAGGGCCCTCATGGGTATCCTTACTGTACTACTCAAAGCAGACATAATTCAGCTTTCATACCAGGGGATAACAGATGCCCCATGAAAACCACCACTGCCTGGTAGTGACCTGGATGCACTATTTAACATAGAAATCCTATTTATGTGAGGATGCACCAGACGTGTTAATGTGCTACAGTGTAAAGCTTTTCCTTCTAATTCTACTCCAGATGTGAGGTGCAGTATGTACATCTTATTAAGGGGGTTACAGTATAGGTGATCTCTCATTCTGCCTTATAAGTGCATGGAGGTGGAAGAAAAAGAAAAAGGGGACAGAAAAGGAGAATAAGAAGAAATGCAAGCATTGGTTTTTTTTTGTTTTTTTGACTGTAAGGGATTTCCATTTTCAGCCTCTTTACTGGCACCCAAGGGTTGCTTCGTAGTGAAGTGTAGAACCTAGAGGCCAGGATGGTCGGTCAGTCATCTTTTCAAGAACATCTTAATTTACTGTGTTGGGTCCACTGACAAAAATCAATGATATTTTCAGTATAGTTTTATTCTTTATTTTCTTAACAGAGCATGTGCTTATTTACTTGAACAGTGTGAGTGTACATAAACAGAAACCTAAAGACACCTTTGAAAGTCATTTTTGGTTTTATTTTACTATTGTTAAAGCCTTTCCTGTAGGTTCAAGTCAGCTGCACTCCAATCCAGACCAGCATCACAAATGGGATGGTTTACTAATTATATCAATCATGTTTTTTTTTTTCTTTTTTAATTTTTTCAAATATGTTTAGGTCCTGGGAAATTCTAATGAACATTTTTTTAAATAGTTTTGGACCTTTAATAAACAGCCCACTTAGTAATTAAGTTAATATATGACGATTCAGCACCTTTAGATTTATGTCTGATATCAACTTTCAGTGCCACTGTGAGAAACAGTGGATCTTTCATGTGATGAGTTAGAAAGTAAGGGTGAACTCGGGGTGTGTTGCCTAAATCTAACAGCATGATCTTTTCTTAACCTTAAATCATCAGCATTAGTAACTGTTCTTCAGTTCTCTTAGATGCCAAGGTGAAACAATAAGTACCTGTGAGACAAGCAGACGCACAGGACCCACCAGCTAGAACCAAGCGTCCTTGTTGTAAGGTGTCCTCTGTTTGGTCTAATTGTGACTTTAACCTGGATAGTCAGTGGGGCGTTCGTACCTTGCAGAGGGTTAAAACCCTGGCTACTGTCCACTGTCCACATCATTAGTCTGACTGCAGCCCTGACTTCCCAGTAAAAACCAGTGAACAGGTTACCATAGAACTGTCTGAGCCCTGGCTGGTGAGATGTAAGGGCAGAGAGTATACATCTCAGAGGGCTAGGATGCTTGACTGAAAAATAAAGCCAAATCTATTACGCCCATCATCTCACGCATATCCATAAACTGTGGACAGGCTGGCTTTGTTTTGGCTTGAAAGTTATTCAAAGTTAGTGAGTGTGAAATTGCCCTCTGAGTGATGTCATCAGAGGACACTAAACCCTTGTTGTGTTAATTAGAGCTCAATGAAATGAGCATGGAAAAAAAAATAACAATGGCCTTAAGCCACAGTCAGGGACACTCTTAGGAACTGCATATTCCTTCTTATGAAGAGTTTCATTTATTTTTCACTATGTTAGTTTCAAGAAAATGTGTTAAAGTCAAACATCTGATAAGACAGCACAGGAAATATCTCTAGGATTAGTTTGTGCTGATGAGCTATTTTCAGGACATTGTTGTGCTGTGACCATCTATGCAAATTTGATGAAGGTAGCTTGTGATTCTAAGCATGTTTCTGCTTTCTTTTTTCTTTCTTTCTTTTTTACTGCGTGTTTACAAATGTACAGTATCTTAACCTATTTCTTTGTAGTATGTCTTTAATATAAATTCAGATTATGGGATTCCCAGAGACAACTAATGCAATATTTAGCAATTACTAGGCCAATATGCAATCAAATAATCTGCATCTTATCCATCATATCAGAGGCAGATTGACTCCAATATGTGTTTAGGCCAACATTCATAAGACAATATGTCAGTCTAACCCCAGAAGCATTGTCAGTACAAGTAGTAAAGTAAATTTTGCATGAAGTACAATAAATGTTTAATTGCTAGAGAAATGCTCTCTACGCCTGCACAAGTGGTATCCTTACTGACCTGTGTGTATCCGTAGATGGACTTTGAGATGATGAGAGGTGCGGAAGGATTTGCCACAATAGGGACAATCCTTGGAGGATGTGCCCAGACTCCGCTCACGATGCTGGGACAGAGGGGGCTGAATACTCCCAGCTGCCTTCCCCAAGTCCTCCCCAACATCTGGAGCACACACAGAGACAGAACAAAGAGGGGGAGACAAATGGAAGGTGTGTTGAGTGCCACTTCAAACCAGCCCTTCACACATCACAACACATCATGTTTTTTTTTTCTTTCTCCTCTGTCTGCCTCTTTTTGTCCCTCATTTCCCTTGCTCAAATGTGCGAACGCCACACAAAGTCAAATGCATCAAATGGGTTCACGGGCAGCACTATTTTCCTCGCTGACAGAACGCTGACAGTTCATAAGCTTTTCAGTTTCTTTAGAAACACCATAGTCCTGAGATACACCCCCCTCAACTCAAACACACACACCCTCCACACCACTACCTGCATCACCGCCGCCTCTCCTTTCTCCTCCTGTTTTTTTTTTCTTTTTTTATCCTTGCTACCATCATCATTCCTATTAAGCATACGCTGGATTGCAGTGAAAATTAACAATGCAAAATGAGACAGAAAGAAGAAAAAAGATAAATTGGGCGATGTCAGCATTGCAGGATCTCCTCACATCTCTCCCTGCGACCTGATTGTGACAGGTAGCTGTCAGAGATATGATAGGGTGATAACGGCTTTGACCCCGCCCTCTGCCACATCCTCCGCATGCCAAAAAAAAACCAAAAAAAAAAAAACGATGATGCAGTTTATTGCAACAGCAGTCTGTTATCAACACAATCACCTTCTGAATATGAATCTAAAGATGCGTAGCAACAACCTGGGAATGTGTTGACAGCAGCATAATCTAAGGTGAGGGTGTCATCATCAGACTGAACACGCTGGCGTTGTTTTATGGAAGGTTAGGAGTCTGTGATTTGCTGACAGTCATGAGATAGTGCAGAGTTTAAAGGCCCGAGCAACACAGCTAAGTTCAAAACACAGGGGAAACATAACTTGAAAACAATAGATTTTTGATGTCTTGCATCTTGAAGATGTGAAAATAAAAATATCTACACTACTTTTAGTCGCTTTGATAGACGCTACTGATCAACTCGTACACTTCGAAGTTGTCACGACAGAGTTGCAAATTTCACAGCAAAGTAAAAATTTATGTTAAAATATTTTTCCTTTATCATTCAGGTGCTTTCTTTTTTTCTTTTACTGTTTCTGTATCAACTTTTACTAATCTGAAATGTGAAACACTGAGAAGTCGTGACCTTTGTGGTCATGAGCAACAGTGACAGTGACCTCTTTCTTGCTGAGGTCAAAGAAAAGAAACGAACAGATAAAGCCAGTGTGTGCTGGTTGTGGCTACTGTATATTTCAACATCACCACATATAAACATTGTCTGTGGACTCCATGGTAAAAGGAATTACTTAGCATGTCAGTATGCGTGTGACCTAGAGGAGCACAAACACAGTTGAAAATGTTATTTATTTTCCAATCTGGCACATTATTTGGTATGTGCATAGAGGAGGGGAGGAAGCCAGAAAGAAAGAACAAGAATCCAAATTGAGCAACCCACTTAGGCAACCACGCTGCACAATAAGAGACATTTTTTAACAGTAGCCTAATCTTTTCTCTTTTCTGTCACTTGCCAACCCATTCCACCCCTCCTCTGTTGGGGAGTCAAATAAGGTTTACAGAATGGAAAGACCCAAGTCAGCAAGTCCTCTGCTACACTGACACTAAACACACAACTCCATTCAGCAACACCGCTATCAGGCTGAAGGCTATTTGTCAGAACTGAAACTGAAAGGCAACCTAAATGTAAGTCTGCGACAATACACAGACACTAAATACCAGATGCCTCTACTCTGGCTTGGCAAGTGTGTGTTTTAATTTTGTGTACAATTGAGGAGACAGAAGCTGGGCAACAGAGCAGTTTTTAAAGCAGATGTTAAACTGTGGATCTTGGTTTAAAAAGATCTTGCTTTCCACATCATTTTAAACAATACGTGACAGGCCATGGAGTGAAAAGAGACGACGGAAGAAAGAACATGTGCAAGGGAAAAACTATATTGAGGGACATTCAACCAGGTTGTCTATGAGGATAGTGATAGGAACTAAGGATTGACCCTCCAAAAAATGAAGTCAGTGACAATTTATACAGTTTGTTTGCTTGTTAAAATGGACATTTAAAAATAGTAGAGTATTTCATTACATGATGCAAATCATACTCCAAATAAACTATGTAAAACACCATGCACTGTATCAACACATGTGCCTTCATGCTATTTGTGTACTTTTTCATTTGACTGCATCTAAAAGACACCCTCTAGACAGAAAATAAATAAATAAAAGCAAATACAATTCCCCCAGTGCTTGGTCCAGGACTGCACCATACTGTAGCCGTAGTTGCCTCCTCATAAACATATTTTGAGCGGTCTACTGTACAGATCCCTTTTTGGCAAAGATTCCCCAGATCGTGTAACAGACACTGGCCCACCTGCCCACCCCAGATGGGGCTAAAATTAAAAAATCCAAAACACAGATTAGAAGCAGGACAAACACCAGACCACACTTCCAAGCACACACACATGCACACACACACACACACTGCATGTCTGTCTCTCACTGTCTCACACACACACACACACACACACCCTTGTGTGTCAGGGTTAATAGTGCACCTGTAAGAGGAAGACACACTACTGAGAGGATGAGAGTGTGCTCTCCTGGCATATAACAGCCCTTCAATAATAAATGGGTTTCACACATTCAGTACACACTACAAAGAAAGATAAAGCAGAACGCTGTGCTTCCTTGCTCCTCTTGTGAGTGTGTAGACATGTGATATAAGTGTATGTACACAGCGCCTATAGGTATGCGCACATGAGCGAATGTATATCATTCCTAGGCAGTAGTTAGGTGACCAGACTGCCTGCCTTTAATCAGTTGATCCACAGTTTTTAATGTGGCTGTTCCAATTACTGTAAAAGTCATCCTGCTCCATATAACCACAAATATTGACACTTTATGGCACAACACATTTATGACATTTTGAAGGTCACTCTGTATATTAGGCATCATCGTTCACAGCTTGGTGTGTGATGCAGAAAGAGACTAGGCTGCCTGTTGACACCCAGCTGTAACTATCCTAGTATTGATTTTCGTTCCCCATCTTCCATCTTTTTTTCATGCTAAGAAGATTCACTGTAGGAGATGCAACATTAAAGTGATTGTCACAGGTGACCATTTGGCTTTTTATATACGAGCCTGTAAAGGCCACCTACTATTATGCTTTTACTTTATTCATGCTGTTATACAATTAGAAACACCTGACATGTTTATACTTATATCCAGGATTCTTAACATTTACCACTGTCATGTTTATAAGCTGCTAGAATGGGTAGAATTTTAAAAACACTATACTAAAACAGGCACATAATAATTGCAATTCAAGGCCCAAAACAAAAACTCATGGATATATCATTGCTTTAAAACAAGTATTGAAAGTTTAATCCGATTTTATCATTTGTTTATTTTAAAATATAGCATTTGTCTGTTTTAATGGGTTGCCTGATGTGAAGCAATTTGTACTATGGCTTTTGAAAAGTGCTCTATAAATATAGATTATTAAACTGACACTTTTTATGAAAACATTTAAGATTAAGTAAAACCTGCCGTGGAAGTACGACAAAAATCATTACATGTTTTTTTTTTCTTTCTCTTGCTGTGGCAAAAAGGATTCTTCATTATATCACAGGCAAAAAAACAGTCTAGAATGATTTGATATTTAATATTTGATATTTAATTTAAAAAAATCTGTATTTACATGCCAGTGCATCTGCCTCATCTAAATTTGTTTCAAGTGTCAGAGGCCCCTGCTGAGTTGACATGTTTTATTTCAGCCAAACCTCATTTTCTGGCATTAATCCTTACAACAGATAATCCTTATCAAGAATCAAACCACTCATCTTTTAATTAATCCAACCACTACTACTTGTTTTTCTCCCAAATTCTCTCATCAAACTCAAACATTCCAACTGTTTGTGTCTTTCGTCTATGAAGCCCTCACTCTCCTCTGCCCCAGGAAAAAAAACAACATGACAAATGCAGAACTGTGACTACTCTGGTACAAGAATATCACAGAGGGGGGAAAAAAGAGAAATACATGTATAATTCAGCTGTATCTGATCTGAGACAGCTCGTCTCCCCTCTGCCTTTACTGGTGTCACGGCGGCGTAATGGAACATGCCAGAACAAAGGGTCTGAGATCAGATTGGAGCAGAGTTGAGCAGGCCATCTGGGAGGCAGGCTGAGTATCAGTCACTCTGCCTGCTGTCTGCTGCACTCACACTCATGTACACACACTTCCACTCTGACTAACTGTGTGTGTGAGAGAGAGAAGAAGAAGAAGGAGATGAGAGAGAGAGAGAGAGAGAGAGAGAGAGAGAATGTGTGTGTGTGTGTGTGTGTGTGTGTAAGACACCTCACTCACTTCCAACTGCACATCACCAGGATCTTGAAATGATGCGACCGATGCATCGCCACCGTGGGGATAAGCCACCAGGGCAGGCCCCGTAACTGACTGACAAATATATAAATTGATAAGGATCTTTGAGTGTGTGTGTGTGTGTGTGTGTGTGTGTCGGTTTTCATGTGCGTACCCCTGGGAAAGGGCATGAAGCCTACTCCTTTACAGCGACCACACCCAGTTCTTAATGGAGGAAAATAAAAGAAAATGAAAAAAAAAAATCATCAACAACAACAGCAAAAATAAACAGCAAACCCAGTGACTGTGTGTGCATATATGGTGTCGGGGTGGGGGGGAATATGGAAGAGGAGGGTTGCCAGTTCCTTAATGGTGCTCTTTCAATCACACTTTGCACTCTAAACGTTCTGTGGTTTTGATTAGTATGATATCACTTTCAGGAAATAAAACTAGAGGGGAAAAAAGCATATCAGTCATAAAAACACAAGATGTTTTGCGTCTTGCTCAGCCATTATTCTAATGCATCACGTGACTCTCGTCAAAGCCCACCGGCCTCTCCCTGCAGCCAACTAACTGATAGGGGGAACAGGAAGGTGGTGGTGGCGGGGAGGTTGACGGAAACAGTTTGAAA